GTTCTTTCCATCTTGAGGCTATACCATCCCCTAGGGTCTTGATTCCTCTCTTAAGATTGTGTGCATTCAGCCAAATGGTTGATGTGGAAGATTGTATAGGAGGTTTTTAAGGGCCAGGCTTGGCAGTGCCAGACATTACTTTCTCCTGTATTTTAGTAGCCCTTACACAGGAAAGTGGCCTACCCAGTTTTAAAGAATATGGAGACTTGTAGTCTCCTCCTGCCTAGAAAACAGGACAATGTTTGGTGAACCTCTAGCCAGTTTCTGCCAGAGTATAGATGGTATTTGGAATTTGAAATCACCTCAAGGGATACTATAGAAAGAAGAGAACACAGGGCCAAAGGCAGACCTTTGAGACACTCCCACATTTAAAGGATTAGCAAAGGAGGACCTGGCAAAGGAAACTAAGGATTGCCAGTATGTTTGAGAGTGTCATCTAGTCTAGAAGAGAAAACATTAATTGGGGAACTAGTAATTAATTTTGCTAGACACTGTGACGCTTTTTTTTTTTAATGTTCTTGAGGGCAGGTTTTATATGGAAAAAAATATTCAGAGTTTCCCTTTGATTTTTATAACCAGTATTTGGTTGATTGAAGTTAGAAATTTTTAAAAACGTTGTTCTTCCTTAGCAACTTTAATTTCAGTGTATCTCATTCTATTTATAAATCTAATAAATTTTAACAATAACTATGAGACATTTTTTCATTTTAGTCTTATTTTACACACTTGATTAAATACTGTTAAAGATTTAAATAGCATTTAGTCATTTAATGGATTCTATTAATTTTTAGGTACTTCAATCATTTAACAAAACTTTTCAAGTTCTTAAAAGTAATTCTTATAAGTTTAATAAATTTAATTTATAATTATGGGGAATCTTAATTTCTTTTACATATTCCAGTAAAACTGCGTATAAATATACTAATTTCAATTTAAAACCCAAAAGATTAACTCAATTACTTGATTATACAGCTTAAATTTAGAATTAAGTCTAATTGAATAGTCCAAATTCTCTCAAATATCATATATTACATTTTTGAAATAGTAAATATGCCTAAATTTTTTATAATTACCCATACATTTCTGTGTTTAAATATAAATATTTTGGAGGTAAAAATAAGCTTTTTCACCAAGGAAACATTGGTGTCATCACAGTCTTCAAGGATACTCCCTTAGATATTTGGGATTTGCATAGTTATCTGAGATACATCTGTGCCTGTGATGCCCTATTGTAGTCCCTACATCAGCCTACTAAATGGTCATGTAGATTTCAAAATCCATGTAGATTACATGCTTGGATCTGGATTTAACCTAATTCTTCTTCTGGTAAGACTCTGCAACCCCTTTCAGGTGGTTATATCATTAGAACTAATTTTCTTTGTTCTTATGTTATTTAGAATGTCCTCTTATGTAAGTCTAGATATCTGTGATCTTGATGGAAACCTACACTTTCGTCATGTTTTTCCTATTTGGTTGGAACAGATGCCTGTATGGGTCTAGATAACTCTCATAGCTCTACAGTGACCCAAGATTCAGTCATTCCACTGCCAGAGAGAGGGCAGAGGGGGAGGAGGGAGAGACAAAAGATGAGATAGGCTGGGATTGGGGTAGACAGAGAAAGAGAATTGACTACTGCCTTGGTAATTCTGAGAAGACTGAACAATTTACCTACAATTGTGTATGTGAGTAATTGAGATAGATTTAAAATCAAGTATGTATGATTTTATTTATTTTTTTAATTTTATTTATTTGACAGAGAGACAGTGAGAGAGGGAACAGAAGCAGGAGGAGTAGGAGAGGGAGAAGCAGGCTTCCCGCTGAGCAGGGAGCCCGATGTGGGGCTCGATCCTAGGACCCTGAGATCATGACCCGAGCCGACGGCAGACACTTAACGACTGAGCCACCTAGGCAGCCCAAGTATGTATGATTTTAAAGCCGTGACTTTGAGGAGATGTACTTGGCATATTTGTATGTGGGAATGTTTGTGTCTTTTCAATAATATTTATTATTATTTTTTTTATTAGGTGAATACCCTAAATAAATCTAAGATTCATCATCTTGGAAGCCAAATCTTTATTAATTTGTTGTTTGGGTTATAATTTGGGCCTTTTAGTATCCTTTAGTTTTTAGCATTGTCATCTAGTTTGTTTCTTAAATTGTGGTGAGAACATTTAATATGAGACCTACCCCTCTAACAGATTACTTATTTATTTATTTTGCTTTTTGTTTTCATTTTATTTTTTAATTCCAGTATAATTAACATAGAGTGTTAAATTAACTTCTAGTCTACAATATCTGATGCAACAACTCCATATATCACCCAATACTCTTAATCTCCTTCACCTACTTCACCCATGCTCCCTACCCCTCTCCCCTCTGGTATCCACCAGTTTGTTCTCTATAGTTAAGAGTCTGGGGTTTTTTTCTGTTTGTTTCTTTTTTTCTTTGTTCTTTTGTTTTTTTTCTTAAATTCCCCATGTGAGTGTGAGCATTCTTGGACTTATTTCACTTAGCATTATACCCTGTAGATCCATCCATGTTGTTGCAAATGGCAGATTTCATTCTTTTTATGGTTGAGTAGTATTCATTGTATATCTATACCACTACTTCTTTATCCAGTCATCTCTCGATGGACACTTATATTGTTTCCATATCTTGGCCCTCTTTAAACAGATTTCTAAGTGTGTGAAACAGTATTGATATCTATACTGCCCAACGTTATCTATAGGTACAATGTTGTACACCATGTATGTATATTTTTTTCATCTTGCACAACTGAAATTTTATAACCCTTGATTAGCAACTCCCTGGCAACCACTATTCTGTTCTTTGCTTCTTTGAGTTTGATTCTTTTAGATATATAAGTGGAAGCATGCAGTATTTTCCCTTTTGTGACTGGCTATTTCACTTAGCAGAATGGCCTCAAGGTTCATTGATGTTGTTGCATATTGCAGGATTTCCTTCTTTTTCAAGGCTGAATAATATCCCACTCTATGTATATACCACATTTTTTTAAACCCATTCATTGATTGGTGGACATTTAGGTTGTTTCCACATCCTGGCTGTTGTGAATAGGGCTGCAATAAACAGGGCAGTGCTAATATCTCTTCATGATCCTGCTTTCAATTCTTCTGGATGAATACCCAGAACTGGGATTGCTGGTAGCTCTTTTTAAAATTTTTGAGGTATCTCCATACTGTTTTTCATAGTGGCTGCACCATTCTGCATTCCCACCAACGATGTTCAAGAGTTCCAATTATTTAAAACAAAACAAAATAAAACAAAAACAGAGATTCTAGCTTTTAGTTTCTAGTTTGATATAAACAATGTAGTATCCCTTCATTCAGTGTTCCTCCCATTTCTCAATAAAATTGCATTTTAATTGAATTTCAGTTTCCTCTCACCCATATTCTTTTTTTTTAAGATTTTATTTATTTATTTGAGGGAGAGAGAGAGAACGAGTGGGAGGGAGAGGTAGAGGGAGAGGGAGAAGCAGACTCCCCGCTGAGCAGGGAGCCTGATGCAGGCTTGGATCCCAGGACTCCGACATCAGGACCTGAACTGAAGGCAGATGCTTAACGGACTGAGCCACCCAGGCACCCCATCTTTTCCCCGTATTCTGTCAAGAGCTTTGAAGGAGATCTTTCTTCAGCCACATGCTAACTCAATTCCCTTCGGTTTTGGTCTTAATATATTTTTCTCAGAATTCCCATTATAGACCTTCAAAACTGTGACCTTTAGGGGTGCCTGGGTGGCTCAGTTGGTTTTGTCTGACTCTTGATTTTGGCTCAGATCATGATCCCCTGGGTCATGACATCTAGCCCCTCGTCAGGCTCTGCCCTCAACTGGAGTAAGCTTGAGGATTCTCTCTCTCCTCCCCCTCTGTCCCCCGCCCCCAACTCCCCACCCCCACAGCCCTGCTCACACATACTTTCTCTCTAGAATAAGTAAATAAATCTTAAAACAAAAACAAAAACAAAAACAACTGTGACCTTTGCCAATATTTATTCCGAATCAGCTTCTGGCTGCATTCTTACTTTTATATTCCAACAAATCTCAGTAAGTTTTCACTTTGCTCTGTACAAATCACACTCACCTTGCTTCTTATCACACTGAAATCACTAACGTTCTCTGATTATTCTGTTGTGTGTGGAGTATGTCTACTTCATCTGTACGGAGAATGCCTTCTCATATCTCAAGTTCTTTAAGGGTCTCTCCTTCTTTTTAAATGTTTATTCATGACAAAATTTGTGGTGTAACTTTTCAGAACAGCTTTTAGCTTTAATTCAATATATTAAATTCTTATATGAATCAGCTACACATAGAAATTTTTGTTATGCTTAGAATAAAAATTGCATTCACATCTATTCTTGAAAATATTATAAAGTTACTAAAAACAATATAGGAGATAATTTATATATTGATATGAAAATCTTCATTATTGAGTAAAAGAAATAAATTTAAAATTATAGGCATATATATAAGTTCTTACAAAACAAAAAGGAAAAAGCAGAATACTCAACAGAAAATAGCTTCTTACTTTTGAAGAAAAACCACATTTGTCATATTTAAGTAAAATGCAGTATTTTTCTGTTAATTTTTATTACTAAGTAAAACTTGCTTATTATTTTAAGAAATATATATAGAAGTGTAGGAAGTAAGAAGCTCAAGTAATCTTTTACACCCTCTCTCCCTGCCCTCACCATACCACCCTCCAGAGGTAAATACTGTAAACATTTCAGCTACCCAGACTTTATATGCACACACACAAAATACTTTCAAGAAATACAAAATGAGGTCATGCTATGCCTTTATTTTTTAAGACACGTTTTAATTGCTGTACACTGACATACACAAAAGTACACAAGTCACAATCGTACAGCTTCAGGATGCTGAATTACGAGCCTTTGCACTTTGTAAGAACTCCCGAAGCTGATTGGTTCAGAGTGAGCTAGAACTACTCCAGGGCGGAGATCCTGGAGTCCGGGGCAGGGAGCGCCTTCTAGCCCGCAGTAGCTGAAAAGCGCAGCTCTGGTGGGAGGAAGCGTCGGTCCTGTTGCCACGCTGCAGCGGGGCCACAGCAGAGGCACAGGTCCCAGGAGGCCCCGCCGGCCGCGCCGAGATGTGGAATCCCCTGCACGAAGCCGACTTGACCTTTGTCGCTTGGCGCCGCCCGCGCTGGCTGTGCGTTGGGGCGCTGGTGCTGGTCGCAGGCCTCTTGATCGTCGGCTTCCTCTTCGGTAGGGGCGCGCTGGACTCGCACACCCCGGAGCCTACCCCGCGGCCCTGCGGTTCCGGGGACTCGCGGGTCGCTGCCGAGTGCGGTCCTGTTGCGTGTTTCCCCGGGGACCGTGGTTTGGGTTGCGGGAAGGTGGGGAACAGGCCCCCGCGGGTTAGCTGCGGGTCGCTGGGGACGGGGCACAGTGGGGCTCAGGATAGACTATGGTAGGACAGTCACCCAGGGTAAGGAGTGGAACGCAGAGACCCTGAAACTGGACTTCAGCAGGTGCCACATGCTCGAGCCCTTTGAGAAACTGGTACGTTTTAGGATGAGCGGGGCAGTTGAACCAGGTCTTCCAGGGAGCTTTGCAGGAAAGGACTCTAACTTGTTCGGTGTCTTTAGTCGTCTTACGCCTGGGCTGCTTCATGTATGCAGTAGGTAGACGTCAAGGCATTGTTGCACGGGGCCCCCTTTCTCTCTTCATTCTTTCGTCCTTGGGAGCTAAATAATTAGAGGAACATTTGGAAACTGGCTATTATTGTCAGCTCTCTGAACAGATCTTTACCCGTAGGTCTTTTGCGTTGCTCTGTGTACTGATTCACACACTTAACCCAACTTCCTAAAGAACCAGGGACACAGACAAGCTCAGACTAAATTTTAATTTTGACTCTGCTACTTCTTTGTGGCTTTGAACAATTTACTGAGACTCTCCTGGCCTCAGTTTTTCAATCTTTGTGATGAGAATTTCTGTAATTTATTTGGAATGGTAAATGAAATAGCGCCTAAAGCTCCTAGCACAGTGTTGGGGTGTTGGCACTTTTCTTTATTCCTTCTTGATGAGGAGATGCTTTTAATTGGATGTTGGTGCACAGGACTAGTTTAAGGTAGTTCACCCCTGCTCTGAATTCACCACCCAGTGGATGACACAGAATAAGTTCTTTATTAATTGTTAATTTTTTCCTAGGATTCTCTGCTCTCCTCTCCCCCACAGGCCTCCCACCTCTTCATTTTGTTCATTTTTTAGCTCTCAATTCAGTGTGTCCTTCCCTGATCCCAGTCGAATCCAAGTCCTTTTGTTTTATGTACCAATGGAATTGTATTTCCATTTGCTGCCACCTATTTATTTCAATATGCATGTATATATGCGTGTGTGTATGCATGTATATGATTAATAACTGGAAAGTTCCGTGAAAGCTGGATGGGCAATTTTGGTAACTATTTTATGCCCAGATTGTATCATATCTCTAAATAAAGCCTGTAAAGATGCCTCATTTCCCACAGATTAAAAGCCAGCTACAAGAGCTAACTGCTCCACATGATCTGGCTACCCATTCCCTCTGGCCTCTGTGTGCACTGGGCATCTTGCAGAACCACTGGGTAAATTGTAGTTTTCTTGTAGCTTTCTAAAGTTCAGAGTCTCAAGCCTGCTTCAACTGGAAACACAGAATCTCAGCACATTTTGTTTTAGTTTCTGAAACAGAACAAATTATAAGTCTGAGTTTCCTTCAATTCTGAAATAATTTATGTACTTGAAGTAGATTCATCATTAATTCATTATAAACATTTACTAAATGCTTATTCTGAGTCAGCAGAGGAGAAGTCGCTGTGGATAGAAGCTTTCAGGAGAAAATAGGTGTATCTACTTTTTGCTTAACCTTTAAGAGATCTTGTTTATTTATCCCCATTAATTGAAGCATTTTTATTTTTAGTGGTCCTTTTCTTATAAAACATTTTGCTTTTTAGAATCACAGCAACACCTGTCATTGAAATTGAATTAAAAAAATATGTTGTGACTGATCTGTATTTGAAAAGTGTTTCCATGATTTTTTTTTCCAGTGGAAGTGGGCAAGAGAAATTAAATGGAAGAGAATCTCAGTTAATACTGGAGGTCACTGATACTTTGTGTTTCATGCATGAATAAATACAATAAGGAAAAATAGGTCCTGTTTGTAAGCTCATGTCTCATTCCTATCTTTGTATATATTTTACAGGATGGTTTATAAAATCCTCCAATGAACCTACTAACATTGTTCCACAGCATAATGTGAAGAAGGCATTTTTGGATGAATTGAAAGCTGAGAACATCAAGAGGTTCTTATAGTAAGCATATACTGATGGCTTATATGGGTAATTTGTTATTCTGTTCAGAAAGTTTTGATTCAATATTTTGTATACAGGAACTGACTTTTTAAAAAAGTTTTATTTGTTGAAAACTTTGTATATTTCATCTAGACAGTATTATACTTTAAGCTAAACTGTATCACTAGAGACAATTTTGGGCAGGAGTCAGCAAACTCTGTCTGTAGAGGACCAGCCCCCATGGGCCAGCTGATCTCTGTCACAACTACTCAGCTCTGCTATTGTAGCACAGAAGAGGCCAGAGCCAATACATAAACATATGAGAGTGGCAGTTTCAGTAAAACTTTATTTATGGGCACTGAAATTTGAATGTCATATTCTTTTTTTTTAAGCTATTTAAAATGTAATAACTATTTTCAGCTTGTGGACCATACAAAAACAAGGGAGTGGGCTGGACTCCTATTTTAGAAGATGACATGGTATTTTAGCCAAAAGAATGAACTTGGACTTTGGACTCAGATATACTTGAATTTAAATTCCATCTTTGCCCATTGACAGTAAAATCACTTGGAGTGAATACTTAACCTTCCTGAGCTCTCATTTCCACATCTATAAAATGGTGACCATGATATCGTTGTGACAAGGATGAATTAGAGAGTGTATATGTGACATGGTGTGAAAACTAGCTACCTGTTTCCTGAAATAGCTATCTGTAGTGTAGAGCAAAAGATGTAAATGAGTAAATTTAAAGAGTATTTGCAAAGCAGCTAAAAGTAAAACACTTGTGTAGAATGATTGTATGCAACTGATTAGAATACTAGCTTTTTCATTTTTTTTAAAGATTTTATTTAGTTATTTGACAGAGAGAGACAAGCGAGAGAGGGAACACAAGCAGGGGAAGTAGGAGAGGGAGAAGCAGGGAGCCTGATGCAGGGCTCAATCCCAGGACCCTGGGATTATGACCTGAGCCGAAGGCAGACGCTTAATGATTAAGCCACCCAGGCACCCCTAGAATACTAGGTTTTTCAAAGCAAAATACTTGGAGTTCCTGGTAGTGATTGAAGGATTTCTTTGTGAATACAAATTATAATTTCATATAAAAGACAGTTTTATATATATATACACACACGCACACATATGCATAGATGTACACACATGTGATCATACAAACACATATGTCTTATTTATTTATTTATTTTAAAGATTTTATTTATTTATTTGTCAGAGAGAGAGAGCACAAGCGGGGGGAGCGGCAGGCAGCGGGAGAGGGAGAAGCAGGCTCCCCGGTAAGCAGGGAGCCTGATGTGGGGCTCGATCCCAGGATCATGACCTGAGCCAAAGGCAGACACTTAACTGACTAAGCCACCCAGGTGCTTCCTATTTAAATTACAATACAATTAAAACTATGAATAAAAATTTGCCAGGCACCTTCCAGGTCTTTGGAAGGGCCATTTCCCAAGTGAGAGACCCGGAAGCTTAAATTTTGTGGAAACCCCTCCTCTGCCTCTTGGACTTCTTTCGTGGAAACCCCTCCTCTGCCTCTTGGACTTCTTTCACTTTAATTATGTATAATAGATAAAATAATAGTGGAGTTCTGGCAAGATATAATGTTCATTTCTAGACAGAGCTGCTGTTCCTGCTTCCTTTCCTAACCTGTGACATGGACTGACCGACCGGCAAAGAAGTAAAATGAATGCCTTCATTTCTCTTTCTAGACCCTGAATAAAATGGAAGCAGTCAGTTTCTTGCTTATTCTTCATGACCCTGACCAAGCTCCTCTAACTGTTTAGAACTCAAGGATTTTCACCATTAGCACAAAAAAAAGAAATTATGAGAACCCAACTCATCCCTCTAAGGACCACAGAATCACCAGAAACCTCCTGGACTCTCCAGATTTCCCATTTGCCATTCGGTCATCAAAGAGCTTTCAATCTAATTCTACCCATAGGCCAGGTGTCGGTAAAGCCTCAGATCTTCCATTTTACCCTCCTTCGATCTGCTACGAAAAATCCTCTCTACTTCCAAGTTGTCTGCCTCTCCATAGTGGCTGGCTGGAAGGATCAAAGTACGGTCTGTTTTTTTTGCCTCCCTTGGGATACAGGGTTGTCCTGTTTCCCTTTGTTTTGTCAACACCTGGTTCAATTCTCAGCTCTGTTCACTACTTTGTATCTCTTTAGGGAAACTTTCCTTCTCTTCCTGGTTCGGAAAGACAAGATTATTTTAGAAAACTCTTTTAGACCTCTGGGCTCAGAATTTCTCTGATACACCTTTGAGTACCACTTCTGCTTTGACTAGCTGCCTTCCAGGCGTCTAGCTCCTAGAAGCACTGTTCCATCATTTGTAAATCAGATGCAATGTCTTAAAACAGGAGTACTAACAGCTCTCTTTATTAATTGAGACGATGTAATGATATGTAGAACTTTTCTAGCCAGACAGAGATATGTGAGCCCATATTTAAATACAAGTTGTTGGCTATTGGGGATGATCTGTAAATTATTACTTTTTTTTTAATAATTTTTTTATTGTTATGTTAACCACCATACATTACATCATTAGTTTTTGATGCAGTGTTCCATGATTCATTGTTTGTGCATAACACCCAGTGCTCCACGCAGAATGTGCCCTCTTTAATACCCATCACCAGGCTAACCCATCCCCCCACCCCCTCCCCTCTTGTAAATTATTACTTTTTAAAGAAAACTTGATATTTTAGTAGGATTGACAAATTACTTGCAACACACTTCGTAATTGATTAAAACAAGAAAAATTAAGAGCTGCAGTTTGAGTTACCGAATTGAGCTACAGATCTTTGGAAAGTAGTGAGGTATCAATATTTTCTGTGGGTACAGATGAAAAACTGAAGATTTAGCCAGGGTTATACAGGTTATTGGCAAAACTTCTACTATATCACTTATAGGATTTTATCCAGTTAATTTATTTATCATTGGAAATGCGTTTTTTTTCCTACTCTTCATTAGGATCAGCTTTGCTCCAAATGAGTGGGTTCCAGCCCTGATTGTAGCACAGTGTTATATCTTCATTGGTAATGACAACACTGTTACAAGGAATTTCACTTATAATAGCCAGGTCTGGTAATAATCAATTCCTTCCTTCCTTCCTTTCTTCCTTCCTTTTGTGGTGGGGAGAGCAGGATCAGGACTCCCTGTTGGCAACTGTTCTTTCTCTTTTTAATTTTTTTCTTTAATTTTTCAAAAATTTTTAAACTTTTTAATTTTAAATCTTTAATTTTTTTTCTTTAAGATACTCTACCCCATAACATGGGGCTCCAACTCATGACCCCAAGATCAAGAGGTACATGCTCTACCAACTGAGCCAGCCAGGTGCCCTATTTCTTACATGTAGGGACAGAGTTATCACTGTGACTTAAGGAAATATGTATAATCTGCATCCACTTTAGTTATGTTACAGTTTGTGACTGTGTAATATAGAAAAAAAATAGCACCATGTTGGCTCTTTTTCTGTTATCTCTGCAGGTAATATAGACACCTCAGCTGCATCTTAAAATTGTGTTAATTTGTTATGTTTTGCAAATACACATTGGAAATTTTGTGTAAGTTGTTTTAAGGGAGCAAGAATGTCCTATCCCCTTCAAGGTACTTCTAGCACCCTGACACAAGACAGATTCATAAGAGAAAATCAAACTTAATAGTGTATGTGTGGGGAATCCGTATAGACATGGAAATTCCAAGTATAGGCAAAATGAACTATATGAAAGGAACACACTTCACAAGGTGATAAGAAAAGCAGCTGTTTGATAAGTAGATATTTGCCCTGCTATACAGCTGGATCAGTCAGATAAAATTTATCTCTGCTAATAACCCTTATTTTGAGAACAACCATCAATTTAGATTCTATGTTGTTAAGGGAGCAGCAAAAGTTTCTTTTGAGCCTGTACGGTTTCGATTGCCTTAAGCTCAGAATAACGTTCATGCCAATGTGGCCCATCTTGGGGTAGCCCACATTCAGCCCCTATAGTGTTTAGCCCTTAAACATTTTTTGAATAATGATTTTGATACTATCTTTGTAAATACAATTTAAATTATTTTAATAGAATTATAAAAAATAATCACAAGAACTCCATTTTTTAAAAATTGAGAGTCATTCTTCTTGGCAGTTGATTTGTCAAGTCAAACATTAAGATAAATTTACAGTAAAAGTAAACATTTGAAAATGGAATCATCATTTTCATGTTGCCTATTTATTAGTTTTTTTTAAAAAAACCCTATAAGGATGAACATGTGTTGGTTTTAGAAAAACCTACATATTCAGAAGCAGAAGTTTGTGAAGATCTAGAAATAAATGTCTTTTTATGATACATAATGCTTTGGCATGTGGATTTTTTTCTTTAAGCGAGTTAAGATGAAAATACCTATGAGCTAAATCTTCAGGGAAACAAAACATTTCCAGGAGAGAGAGAGAAATTTAAACAAACAAAAGCACCAGTATCCAGACATATTAATGAGAAAGTAGTAAACTCGTGAAAGTATTTTTGGTAGCTGAAATTCTGCCCACATAGCTTATTCATTAGAGATATTACTGGTCAGGCTAATTATCATCATTGATTTTTAAGTGTATTACTATGCATGATGAAGGGAGTACAAGAGATTTAGTCTGAGCTTCTCAAAATATGTTTAGATTATTCCTTAATGAAGATACTTCATAAAGGCTGCTAATCAAAAAGTTTCTTGGTTGACCATAACTTGAAGTATTTAAAAATAAATGTAATTAACAGTTATTCTTGGCACATCACAGCTTGGTATTTTGTATGAAAATATTTTCACCTACTAAATCTATTTCATACAGTGAAATAAATAATTCCATGAAAGTTCTAAGATGCATGAGTCTTAAGGAAAGAAGAGGACACTTCCTCATCTACTGTACGGGGAAACACCCAGCGGATTGCATATAACAATTTTCTACAAAGATCAGTTTCTCCAATTTTTCTCTTGAATGAGTACAAATTAGAGCATGAAAACTTCAAAACATGCTTTGAAAATCGATTTGATGCGATAATAGTACCACTTTCCTTTTTTAATGTATCACATTTCAAAGCACCTTTTAAATGTCAATCTGCCTTCATTGGTTGTTCATTTGGGATAAAGGCTGACTAAACATTAATTTCTAATTACTTTCAATTTTTGTTCACCAGTAATTTTACACGGCTGCCACATTTAGCAGGAACAGAACAAAACTTTCAGCTTGCAAAGCAAATTCAATCCCAGTGGAAAGAATTTGGCCTGGATTCTGTTGAGTTAGTCCATTATGATGTCCTGTTGTCCTATCCAAATAAGACTCATCCCAACTACATCTCAATAATTGATGAAGACGGAAATGAGGTAAAACAAAGAGATAAGAAACTACCCTCATCTCTATTCTTTTCAAACACCTTTTATGAAAGAATGCCCTATACCATCTCTAATTATTGATGGAAATCAGTATTATTGAAACTTGTCAATGATGTCTTTAATATCTCATTACTGGTGTCAACTTCTTTCCTATGATGTTTGAATTTAATGTGATGTTGGAAAAATCTGAGAAATTAATGCTTGATCACAGTTGTATTTTCTGTTTTTTAGTATTGTGTGCTAATATAAAATATGATATATTAGTACTTCCAGGCAAGTAAAATAGACACATTTTTGATAGATTCAGACTATAAAAGATACTGTATAAGTTTGGGGGTGTGAGGAAACCCAAGACACCTGGTGTGTAGTTTGAGTCTGCAGCTTTTTATTGGTGCTTAATGATATCAGTCATATGATCATGCATTCAGCTCTGTGCCCAGAATTTGGATGTGGACATTTGAAGGGGGAAGAGAATTGGGAAAAAATGTCTATAGAATGATTATCTAAAGAATTTATAATCTTGTTTGCAAGTTAGGGTACATACTTGAGGAAGAAAAGATAATACAAGTGATTGAGGTATTTCTTGTCATGATATGCATTCAATATGAAAACTCATAAAGTAAAACTCATTCACTTAACCCTATTTAGCACACCTTAGTTTTAGAGGTGCTGTATCTTACCTGAAATAGCCCCTTTCAATCCAGATATTCTCCTTCAGTCTTTTTGTCAGTGGGGCCTTTTCAATTGGTATATAGCTTCAAATATGTCCTTGATCAGTGAACTGAAAATGTCATGTGATTTAAATATATATAAATTTAAAAAATTTTTCCTAATATGTCAATCACCTTCAATCGACTCATGAATCAGTCTTTTAATGGCAAATATGTTGTTATGTTTTGCTGTCAGTGATGTAATCCCATGCTAAATTTCCTAATATGATTTGAAACTTTCTATATTAACTACTATTTTAAATTATTGTAGTTAGTTGTTTATCTTTTTAAAATATTAACCTGTCTCAAAATTTAAAAAGAATTTTTTAAAAAAAGTTATGTGGAATATCAATATACCACATATGGTCCCATAACATTTGTTAAATAAGTCGGGGCATATCTATATAATTAAGTACTAAGCAGTCTATAAAAGTATGATTAGGAAAGTTATTTAATGATGAAATAAGATATAGATTATGTTAAATATATATATATATATTTATTCATATAAAACCTCTGTCAGATTTGGGGATGATCTATATACAATGAGGAAAATAGCAAACTTGCACTTCTTTTTTCCTTCTTCTTTCACCTCCTAAGTTTGACTGTGACTTTGCTTTTATTATTCCATTTCATTGTTTGTTTTGCCATTGTAAGCATTTATTAAATTCTTCAAGCCTGTCACATAATATAAAGGTATCATGTAGAAACATCATTCTGGAGATTTTCTGGAATGGTGTTAGCTGTCTCTTTTGGCTTCCTAGACCGATTTCTGTTGGGATGGGGAGTGTTTTCCCCACACATCCAACAAGCAATTCTCAGACACCAGTTGGGTGTCCTACAATTCAATGCAATTCTGACACTATTTACCTGGAGATAGCATCAGATTCCATAGGTAAGGGTTCAGTCTCATAAAACTGCCCCCTCCCCCACTCACTCAGATGCCAGGCACAAGTCCAGGTTGTTAACCTGTGTTTCTGACCTACCAGCTGTAGACTGGAGGTTCCAATAACCCCCTTCAACTCAGGACGCCAGTTGAAAGCCCAGGTTGTTAACTGTATTTCTGACAGACGGGCAGAAATCAGAGGTTCCTATGATCCCCTCCTCAGGTTTGATTAATGTGCTAGAGCAAATTAACATTTGCAAAAAACATTTTACATTCCAGATAACTGATTTATTAAAAGGATGATAAATGATATGGATCAGTAGCCAGATGAAGGATGCATAGGGCAAAGTATGTGGGAAAGAGCAGAGAGTTTCCACGCCCTCTCTAGGAGCCCCAGTCCCCTCCCATTTCCATAGGTTCGCCAACCCAGAAGCTCTCTGAACCCTGTCCTTTGGGTTTTTATGGAGGCTTCATTACATAGGTGTGATGATTAAATCTTGGCTATTGGTGATTGATTCAACTTCCAGCTCCTCTCTCCTGGTTGAGAGGTTGGCAGTGGGACTGAAAGTTCCAACCCTCTAATCACTAAGTTGGTTCTCCAGAAACCTGCGTCAATCCTTAAGTGGGGTCCAAGTTACCTCATTAACATAACAATAGACACATTTGTTGCTCTCATCAGGAAATTTCTTTTAGGAGGTTTTAGGAGCTCAGTGCCAGAAACAGGATGAAGATCAAATATATATTTATTATAAATCACAATATCACACTGCCTAAATCTTCCTAATTTTTTAAAAGCTATATCATTAATTCATTTTCCTTTTTTATTTTCATCCAAAGTACATCTGAACATAGTCACATACTTCTCCAAAGTGCCTTGCTTCCTCCCTATTTCTCCCTCTCCTGAAGCAAGCAATATTCAACTGTTGACACAAAATGAACAAACCTTTTAAGTTTTATTTTTTTTAAAGATTTTATTTATTTGATAGAGAGTGAGCACAAATAGGGGGAGCAGGCAGAGGGAGAGGGAGAAGCAGGCTCCTCGCTGAGCGGGGAGCCCGAAGCGGGCCTCGATCCCAGGACCCTGGGATCATGACCTGAGCCGAAGGCAGATGCTTAACGACTAAGACACCCAGGCGCCCCAAACCTTATAAATTTTAAAGGAAAAGGAAAAGAGTTTTATTTGAATCCAAGTTAAGGCAGCTGCCCAGGATACACAATTTTCACAAAAGAAAAATGGAGCATTAGGGAGGAAAAGGAAGAGTAAACATCACATAATAGGAAAATAAAAGTGACTTAAATGCTGTGTATCAGTAATTAGAAAAAATTTAAAGGAAAAAACTGATTAAAAACATAGCATATCAGACTAAGTAAAATCAGCTGTGTACTCTTTTATAAGGAGTGACTTGAACACAACATTACAAGTCTGAAAGTAACAAAACTGAAAAAGAAATACCAAGTAAATATTGACTTAAAAAATGGTTTTATCTTATAAAGTAAATTTTAAAGCAAAGTCAAAAACCTTATTAAGAGATAAAGAGGGTCACTACCTAAGTGTTTCAATTCACCAACAATTCTAAAGTTGTTTTTATCTGTTAAAGGAAAAGTTACAACAGGCCCCAAATTGAATTACTTGTACTGAGACCCACTCAGAAAACCAAGATTTAATACCTAACCTAACGCAGTTGATTCAGCCTCTCCGAGGAATGTGACCTTTAACTAGTCAGTCTGGAATTACCTGGTCAGTACTGATGAGGTAATCCACCCAAATGACCCCCTTCGTCCCCTAAAGGACAAAGATCAATAAGGAAAAAATACAAAGAAAGCATAAATAAATAAGGAGTTAAGAAAAAAAAAAAAGGCATATCTGTAGATGCTGCACAGATAACAAAGATAAGAAAATACTAGGAAGAAGTATGCCAGTAATCCATAGCTGAGATGAAACGGAAAAAACTTGAAATTTGACACAAGAATGCAAAATCCAAATAGTTCTATAACATTAGTTCTAGTTCTATTCTAGAACAATAGTTCTATAACATACTCATCTCAAAAAATATCCCCCCCAAAAAAACATTGAACAAATGAAACATAAATTCATGATAAAAACTCTTAGTAAACTTGGAAAGGAAGTTAATTAACATCACCTGATAAAGGTCACAGCAACTATCAAAATTTATGGTGAGACATTAAAAACATTCCCTTGGAATTTGGATATCTATCACTACTTTGCAACATTGTACATGGCCCTGGTCCTGGGCAGGGGTACAAACAGTGATGGGAGATCAGGAGTGAACCTAACGTTATGTTATCCCAACTAGAGCACCAAATATCTACCTTTTCTTTCTTTTTTTTTTTTTTTAAGATTTTATTTATTTGACAGAGAGAGACACAGCGAGAGAGGGAACACAAGCAGGGGGATTGGGAGAGGGAGAATGAAGGCTTCCCGCTGAGCAGGGAGCCCAATGCAAGGCTTGATCCCAGGACCCTGGGACCACAACCCGAGCCGAAGGCAGCGTCTAACCAACTGAGCCACCCAGGCATCCCCAAATATCTACCTTTTCTGAGGCACACAGAACCTACTGTGAAACCGCATCAATTACTACCCTTCAAAAATCCCCACATCCTCCATTTAGCCCATAATTTTTCTGTGACACACACAGGGTAGGAAACTCATCTGAATCATTGGGAAAGATTATAAAAGAAACTATAGTAAAGTGCAATACCAATCCATCTAGAAACAAAGTCCTTGCATCAGCACATCTTTCAGCCAAGCAAGTATTCAAGTTGATCTCACTCAATTTGCCTATATGGTAATCTTCAATTTTACAGCCTCTCTGAATAAGTGGATTTTAGAGCAAGTTTATGAGTTATTCTAACATGTGGGAGAAATTTGTAAGGGAAACCACTATTTTGGGTGACTTTATCAAAGGTAGACTATATACCAGAGACCATTGCTCATTTTCCAGAATTCACTAACATAGACTCAAATTATGTATTCTCAGTATAACCAAAACAGTTTAGTTTACAAATTTCTATTTACCTTTTGTGACATAAAAAAAGGCAGTATATAATTCAATCTATATCATATGTTATCTCTATGTGAACAAAGATAATGTGTCTATATATGTTTAAAGTATTTCTGGTCGAATCTATAGAACACTAGTCATATTGGTTGCCTGTGGAAGGAGGAACTTGTGTGTGTTGTGCAGGAGAGTAAAAGTTTACAGTTTATCACAGAATGCAGGTCTGAAGAGTCACAATAATTAAATTACACTTGGAAATGGTGATGGTACAAAACCATTAATAGGTGTGACAGAGGGATGAAAACAGTTGAACTGTCACAATGTTCATAGATAATGCCTAAATCTGAAACACTGCATGTTATTTAAAGAAATAGAGGTAAATATCCCCCAAATCAACTCCTGGTTGTGATAAAAGAAAGGGAATTTTAGGGGCACCTGGGTGGCTCAGTCATTAAGTGCCTGCCTTTGGCTCAGGTCATGATCCCAGGATCCTGGGATCGAGCCCTGCATCAGACTCTCTGCTCAGCGGGGAGCCTGCTTCTCCCTCTCCCCCTGCTTGTGTTCCCTCTCTCACTGACTCTCTCTCTTTCTGTCAAATAAATAAAAAATCTAAAACAAAAGAAAGGGAATTTTCAACTTTTCGTGTTTGTGGGCCCTGCTTCTGGGCTCTCAGAGAAGCTATACTTGAACCTTTACCAAGGTCAAAATGACTCGGCAAAACCTTAAAGTATATATGGGCTCAATCAGTATCTCTACAAGGCAAACATCTTAGAATACTTTCACTTTGGTCATACCCTACCACTTTATGCCCATAATTCTAATTTAATCTTGTTCTTGTCAACTTGAATAATACTTGCTTTTATTATTACATACAGTACATATTTATTCATTTTTTCCACATATTCAGGATACCTTGCTTACCAGTCTTTCTTGAATCCTCTTAGAGCTTCTTTTAGAGGCTTTATTTGTTTTGTTGAATGATATCCTTTAGAGATTTTCTTTAAGTGAATATCTGTTGGCTCCAAACTATTAATGTTTGGAAGAAAATGTGTCTTTCATTTCATTTCCTTTTTTAAATTTTTTTGGAGTAGGAGGCGGGGGTGCATGAGGATCCACACCCAGCTCGCAGCCCAACTCGGAGCTCAGTCGCACCACCCTGAGATCATGACCCGAGTTGAAATCAAGAGCCGGATGCTTAATCGACTGAGCCACCCAGGCACCCCCATTTCATTTTCAAAAGGAAGGATGTTTTTGTGGGACCTAGATTTGTAGTTTGGCAGTTACTGTAATCAAAGCCTGGTGCTTTATAGATCCTCTCTGTGTCTGTGGCTTATTCTTCTAGCACAGTGCTGAATATTTGATATGTATTTTCAAAATACAAAATACAAAACCCTCTACTGACAAAAACGATAATGTACATTTTTCCTTGTTTGCTTGTAGTAATCAAACTTTACCTAACTTAGTTTTGACTTATATTTTGCTTTTCCAGATTTTCAACTCATCGTTATTTGAACCACCTCCTCCAGGATATGAAAATGTTTCAGATGTTGTGCCACCTTTTAATGCCTTCTCTCCCCAGGGGATGCCAGAGGTAAATATGCAATGTAATAATATACAAATAACAAACAGAACCCCCTCATACATGCAGGCAACAATTGAACAGTTATAAGGAGATTTTTTATATAATCCAAATTTACCCTCTTTTCACAATTAGGACAGTAGAATTTCTTAATAAGAAAAAGCACTATTTATTGTTTTGTTGACAGTTTTTAAAGATAAAATTTACTGAAGTGAGATGCAGAAATCCAAAATGTACATTTATTGACTTTTGACAAATGTATATACTTGTGTAATCCAAACCCCTTAACACACAAAATATTACCATCATTTCAGAAAGTAACTCTATGCCTTTTCTCAATCAGTACCACACCGGTTGCCCCCTGCCAGTCAATCATTCTAATTGTTTTTGCTACCATTGATTAGTTTTGCCTATTTTAAAAATTCATATTGGTGGAATTGTACAGCATGTAATCATTTGTGTCCAGTTTCTTTCACAAAGTGTTGAGTCTATGAGATTCACGTGTTTCAGCTTTTAATTAGTTCTTTTTTATTGCTAAGTAATTTCCATTGTATGAAAATACTGCATTAATTATTACTGTTGCATAGCACTGATTAGTTTTCAAAGAATTTGGGTAAGAGTATTGTTGCCATTTTCAAATGAAGAGCATGAAGGTCCATTCTAGAAAATTTTGTGTGGTCTACTCAATAAAGCAGTGTGCATAACTATCATCTGAAATTCTATAGTCAATCCCCAGATTCATGTGAGGTACTTTGTTTTTTATAAGAGAGCTAAATTTGAAAGAGTTGAATATAATTATTAACATCTTTTTAAAAGTTTTCTCTCCTATTATAATACTTGACAGTAAGTAAATTCAATTTTGGATGTATTGGGTTGAAGTGCCTGGGATATATTCACAAGAAGTTGCTAATTGACAGTTGGGTATATTGGATTATCAGTCAGCAGAAAGCTCTTATTAGAAACATCCTAGGTAAAAAAATTTGCTTAATCAATTAGGATTTATTGCAAGAACATAAGGATAATTTAATATCAGGAAGTGCCATATCTTTTAGTAAGTAAGAGAGAAAATACTATTTTTATTTTCAAATGTATTGGATTTATTAACTTATAATTTAAAAACTCTTGCCAACTTAGAATGAAAGAGTATTTTTCATTGGTTATATGAAGTTCACTTCAAATGAATAGTTTACATCTTAATGGTATAATATTAGAAAAATTCTGTCTAATATTTAGCACAAAAATAGAATGCTGGCAATCATAATTATTTCATAATTGACATGAGATAAGAATGAAGCATATAGCAAGTGGAAGTGAAGAGATAGTATATTTTAGATCTTAGGTGTACTGAGGTCACTTAGACTTAATCCAAGGTTAAGGTACCTACCATATTTGTTAGTCTCATTCTTCTACCCCCCCCCCCCCCCCAATGTATTTATGTCCTTTGCAATGCGTATATTCTTTTTGTTTGTTTGTTTTTCCTTAGAGAGGGAGAGAGCGGGGGAGGGGTAGAGGGAGAGGGAGAGAGAGAATTTTAGGCAAGCTCCATGCCCAGTGGGGCTCGATCTCACAGCCCTGAGATCATGACCTGAGCCAAAACCAAAAGTCGGACCCTTAACCGACGGAGCCACCCTGACGCCTCAGCAATGTACATATTCTTGAAAACATATGGCTTTATTTTGTGTTTGATGTATTTTAAATTTATGTAAATAGCATTAAACTTTAGGTCTTACTTGTTCTCTTACTCTTTCCAATCAATGGCCTTTAAAAACTCTACCCACGTTGCTTTATGTCAGGGTAGTTCGTTCCTTTTCACTTGTTGCCTATCCCACCCTATGTGCACACAACATGTAACTTACCCATTCTCTGAGCCTCGAGTGCTGCTTTACTCCTAAATTCTCATCACCACAGTGTTGCAGTGAATGTCCTCATATGTGTCCCCGTCTGGGCTTGCAAGGGTTTCTCTGTTTACAGTAAACCAAGTGTGGGATTGCTGTTTTGTAGGAATATTTACTTTCACAATGTCCAGACTGTAGCAGTTGGTTGCTTCCGCTGACACTGAGTGTTCCTTTTTCCTCATATATTTTCATCAACACTTGAAATTATATAACTTAATGATTTTTGCTTTTTGTTTATATAACTTTATTATTTTATTTTAATTCACATTTCTCTGATTACAACTGAGGTTGCTCATTTGTAAACATATTTATTTATTAGCTGTTCTGGTTTTTATTCTGTGCAATGACTAAGGATAGCCTTCTCCCTGTTGAATTTCCAGTCTTTCTTACTGATTTTAAGGGTTTTTTTTAAATATTTTAATTGTTTATTCCATATTGGTTTAAATATTACAAACCTTTTGATAATTTTTCACCCATTTGTTCATGTTATCTAAGTTCCCCTTTTCTATTTTTTTAAGGATATTTTTTTAAATTTGAGAGAGAAAAAGAGAGAGCATGAACAAGGGGAAGGGCAGAGGGAGAGGGAGAGGCAGACTCCTGGCTGAGCAGGGAGCCCAGACTCAGGACCCTGGAATCATGACCTGAGCCAAAGGCAGACGCTTACCCGACTGAGCCACCCAGGTGCCCCAAGTGCCCTTTTTTGAAAAGATATCTTTAATATTAATATTGCTCAACTGTTCTCTTTATGTTTTTGTACTTTGGGTCTTCTTTATTAATTCTTTTCATTATTTACAGTGATATATCTGTATAATCAGAATATACAAAAAATACTAATACATCATTATTTAAAAATAACAATATTATCAGATTGAAGTATATATGGACATAGTGTATAATAACAGGAAATACAACAAAAATTTTTAAAAAAAATTTTAATTTAAAATAGCCATAAAATATAAAATACAAGTCTTCAATGAGCATGAAGTAGTTGAAGAGCACTGTGAAATTTATTGAGCAGTGAAAATATTATGTATAAAGAAACTTTATGTTTCTAGGTAAGAAGACAGAATACTATAGGGAGAAAATTATTCCCACATTAGTTTGTGGGTTTAATGTATAATCAATTGACATCCCCAAGTAATTTTTGGACTTTGACAGAATTATTCTACTCAGAAGAGTCATAGAGATTATTAACTCATTTCTTTCAAGTAGACCTAAACTCTTCTTGATTAATGGGAAGATAGAGTCTGTGATTCTGCATGAGATTCTTGTTTGTGTTCAAATATTAGATGAGTTTGCTGGCTGATGTGCTTCACTGGATCACCTATAACTCAGCCAGTGCAATGCTAATTCTTTTTAAAGTTATGTATGTCTGTGCTTAAGATATTTCACTGTAGGGGCGCCTGGGTGGCTCCATCGGTGAAGCGTCTGCCTT